GACTGGTAGATTCTGGATGGCCAGGCTTGGGACACATGATACTCCCTATCACAAAGACTAGGGGAGGGAGAAAGGTGACCCTCCAAGGGAAATCAGGGGCTATTACCAAAAGGAGAGAGGAGGTACCAGATAAGGAGGAATACCGGATACCTGCCATGAGGGAAAAGCGAACTGCACAGCTCATGTGTGCCGGGCATTGGCAAAGCCCTATATGTACCTTAGTTATTGCAGTGAGTCCTCAGGGGAGATTGCTGTCCTCATTTTAGAGAGAAGGACACTGTGGCCAGAGAGATTGGTACCTTGTGAGTTTCACCAAACAGCAGGGCTGGCATTAGAACCCAGTGCATGGGCTCTTTCACCAGCCCCCAAACCATGGGCAAGGCCAAAGCCCTACATTGGGACAATTCTCATCAAAAAGTTAGATCTGTGCCTAAAAATGCAGACATTGTACTCAGAGGTTGATTCCAATAAACCAGTTAGATCTGCTACAGAGTTCTTGTACCATAGGGGCAGAACTTTAAAAATTGTAAACAGGGCTTCCCTGGTGGCGCAGTGGTTGAGAGTCTGCCTGCCGATGCAGGGGGACATGGGTTCGTGCCCCGGTCCAGGAAGATCCCACATGCCGTGGAGTGGCTGGGCCCGTGAGCCATGGCTGCTGAGCCTGCGCGTCTGGAGCCTGTGCTCCGCAACGGGAGAGGCCACAACAGTAAGAGGCTCGCGTACCTCAAAAAAAACAATTGTAAACAAGGGCTTCCTTGGTGGCACACTGGTTAAGAATCCGCCTGCCAATGCAGGGGACATGGGGTCGAGCCCTGGTCCAGGAAGATCCCACATGCCACAGAGCAACTAAGCCCATGCACCACAACTACTGTGCCTGTGCTCTAGAGCCCGCGAGCCACAGCTACTGAGCACGTGTGCCACAACCACTGAAGCACGCCTAGAGCCCGTGCTCCACAGCAAGAGAAGCCACTGCAACAAGAAGCCCACACACCGCAACAAAGAGTAACCCCCGCTTGCTGCAACTAGAGAAAGCCCACATGCAGCAACAAAGACCCAACTCAGCCAAAAATAAATAAATAACTAAATATTGGGAGATTGGGATCGACATGTATATACTAATATGTATAAAATGGATAACTAATAAGAACCTGCTGTATAAAAAAAATAAAATTCTAAAATGCTAGATAAATAAAATTTTATAAAAATTAAAAGAAAACTAGAAAATATTACTGACAGAAATGAAAAAACACCTAAATAGAGTGACACACCTAAAAAAATAAATAAATATAACTAACTAACTAAATAAATAAATAAATAAATTTTAAAAAATGTTAAACAAGAGATCAAGAATGAATTATGTAAGCAGAATTTTTTTTTTTTCTGTTTATGGGTGTATGCTTTGGGTTGGTTTTAAAATCTTTGATGATCTTTTATTTTATTTTTTCCTTATTTTTAATCCACACTGGCATTGTCCTTCACAGATAGTCATACAGACTTTGTTTATACATCCCCCAGGATGGGGACCTTTGGTAGGGTATTTTCTGGGACTCCATTTACCCATCTGGAAGGTGGGGCCATTGGGTTGGCTGAGTTCCGTGGTCCCTTTCAGATATGGAAAAGCCCCCTTGCTAGTTTCCCTGCCCCTTTTCAAAACCATTTTCTGCACAGCAGCCAGAGGCATATAGATGGATATATTTTTAAAACATACATTGAATTATGTCAAACGCCTCCTCCCCAGCCCCCTGCACCCCTCAAAATTTCAATAGAATAAAAATCCCTCACCATGGCCTGTAAGCCCTATAAGACCCTTGTGATGCAGCTGCTGCCCCTCCTGGCCACATCCCCTTCCCTGACAGCTGTGTCCTGCCATAATGGTCTTCCGGTTCCTCAAACATTGCAAGCATTTTCCAGCCTGCGTGTCTTCATTTGTACTTTTCATTCTGTCTGGAATACACTTTCCTCAGCTCTTCCCCAAGCCAGTTCCTCATCCTTCAGGTCTCAGTTCAAAGGCTGCTTCCTCAGAGGGACCTTCCCTTCCAAGAACACCCACTGCCACCATCCCCATCCTGCGCTACCACAGCAGGCTTTGGGGTCCTTCCTAGCACTTACTGTAACTTAAATTATATACATATTTCCTCATCTGCTGGTTTATTGCCCATCTTCCCACTGTCCAGGGGCAGGGTCCGAGGCTGTCCTGCTGCTCATTGTAACCCAGCACCTGGCAGAGGGCCTGGTACACAAGAGTTGTTTAATAAATGTTGTAGAGTGAATGAATGAACGGGAGCCATTCTAAATCGACATGCTGGAGCCTCGCTTAAGCAGAATTGATGTTTTCTTTCTTTCTCTCTCTCCTTCTCTTCGTTGCTGCGCGTGGGCTTTTCTCTAGTTGCAGCTAGTGGAGGCTGCTCTTCGTGGCAGTGCGTGGGCTTCTCGTTGCGGTGGCTTCTCTTGTTGCAGAGCATGGGCTCTAGGCGTGTGGGCTTCAGTAGTTGTCGCACATGGGCTCAGTAGTTGTGGCTCATGGGCTTAGTTGCTCCATGGCATGTGGGATCTTCTTGGACGAGGGCTCGAACCCATGTCCCCTGCATTGGCAGGCGGATTTTTAACCACTGCACCACCAGGGATTCCCCTGTTTTCTTTTTAATAAGACTAATGACTATTCAGGTGGCTTTGGAGACAGCTCTTTTTGTCGTAAAATCACTTTTCCAGGGTGACTCTGCCTCCCAAAGGATGCCCTGCCCTGTCTTTTGGCTCTATGAGGTACCCAGAGGACTAGTGGACACGAACAGGGCGGGGCGGGAGGCGGGATACCTGAATCCCTGGTGTTGAAATAGTGTGTCTTTCTGAACGGGGGCCGGGTAGACACTGGGGACTCAGAGTGAAGGGTACTAAGATTTCTTGAACTTCTCCTCTCTGCCAGGCAAGGAGCTCAGAGCTTTACCTCCGATAATCATCACAATTCTATGTAAGATGGGCTCGATGACCCCATTTTACAGATGGAAACTGAGACCCTGGGGGTTAGGAAATTGTGTGAGTCTAGAGTCCAAATGCCTTCCTTCCTGCCTTGCTTCGCTGAAATGAAATAGATGTTGGATTTAGAGAGGTTGTTTCTGGCGAACCCCTTAGCTGGGCATTCAAGGGCACCTCCCATCTTGTCTTGATTTGTCTTTACATTTTTCATCTCTTCTCACCTGGAAAATCTTCTCCCATAAGTCCCTGGTGTTCACAATGGGCTCTGGCTCTGGCCCCCCCATAGCTCCTCCTTTTCCTGTTTTGAGTGAAGGTATCCTAGCAAGAACTCATTTGGGAAGAGACTTTGTCTAAAACCGCTTTGGAAACCACTGCTAGGCGTGGTCCCCCGTACTCCCTGAGCTTGTCTTTGCTCCACCATCATCCCCCACCACCGACAGTCTCTTCTTTCCTCTCCTGCTATCTAGATCTACATGTCCTTCAAGGTACACCATGATGACTTCAAGCTTCAGAGATCTCTCCCGCCCCGCTTCCTGCATCCGTCAGGACTAAATTACATGTGTCAGAAACCCAACTTAAACTGGCTTCAGAAATAATCCCAGAGTGTGGGTGTTGCCCAGGATTTACTGCCTCAGGAAACTGGACAGACAAGGAGTAGATTGAGCTACAGGCAAAGCTGGACCTAAGGGTCAGACTGTGTCATCAGGAATCTACTGATACTGGCCTCATTCTCAGGCAGGCTCCTCCCAAGCGATGATGAAATGGCCCCCTGGCATCTCCACGTTGCATCCTAACAGCCTAGCAACCTCAAAGAAAGAGAGCTTATCTTTCTCAGGGGTCAGAGCAGAAGTCCCAGGGCTGATTCTTACTGGCTCTGACTGGCCCAGTGTGGGTCATGTGCTCACTCCTCAACCAATCACTGTGGACAGTGGTACCCACCTTGGTGTCTAAGGGACTGTGTTGAGATAGGGAAGGAGGCTCCCAGGAGAAAAGTCAAGGCACTCTGGTTGAAAGAAAGGTTAACCAGTACCGGGCAAAAAATAACAGACGTCCCCTGCGCACATCTTCACTTATGCACGTGCTGTCTCCGCAGCTTACCGTCCACTCACAGAGGCAGGGGCCCTGCCTGTGTACCCCCATGGCCTCTTTAACAACACCTAGCCCCTCGTGTTTATACAGCATTTCTCTGTTTCCAGATAGCTTTCACATATGTATGTTTTAAGTGTCAAAATTACCCTGTAACCACAGATAATTTGTGCAAGCCAGGAATGGATGTGCTGATCCCTTATCCCTTGAGTATCCAGGTGGTGTCCAGGGCCACCAGAGCCCCCAGCCAGATGCTGTGACCTCCTGCTGCCACCTTGGTTTGCCCGAATTTGTTCTCAATGTATTATTTTCTGTGTGTGCTGTGACTTGTGACAGAGATTGAAAACATGGCCCTGTGGTTTATAAAGCGGCTCTCCATCCTCCACCTTAATCGAATCCTCACACTATCCCGGGAGGCAGCGGAAACAGATGCTGTTAACCCAGTTTACAGATGGAGAAACTGACATGCAGAGGGAAAAGATGACTCAGCCGAGGCCCTAACTGGAGAAGATGGCGTGATGGCTTAGCTTATGAGAAATACAAGAGAGCTAAGAGCCGCAGGTTGCTGTGCCTTCTGACAAGTCAAAGTTTTAAGAATGATGCTGACAAAGTAGCCAGCCCTGTGGCTCTCTGAATTGAGTGGGGAGTAAGAAATCGTGAAAGTAACAGCGTCTCCTGGGATGAGCAGGGTGCTTATGCTTTTCTGTACTTGATTTCGTGTAATCCTTTGCACAACTCTCAGAGGTGGGGGTATTAGACCCATTTTATTGAAGAGGAAGCTGGGGCTCAGAGAGAGCAAGTAACCCGTCCAAGTCATACCGCTGGTCAGGGGCAGAGCTGAGATTCAAACCCAGGTCTTTCTGACTCTGAACTGCTTTGGTCTTGAGTCCTGGAGATGGAAAGACCCCCTTGGTGTTAACACCTGTCTCCATCCCTCTCTGCAGGTCTACATCATCCGTGTCACGTGGTCCAGCGGCTCCACAGAGGCCATTTATCGGCGCTACAGCAAATTCTTTGATCTCCAGGTAAGGATTTGGGGTCTCCGGTGAGCTGCAAGGTGGCAAAGAGTTTATTTGGACTTACTTTCCACTTTGACTTCAGAGCCACAGTGTTCTTGTTTAAAATGATGTCTATGCACTCACCTCAGCAGCACATATACTAAAATTGGAATGATGTAGAGATTAGCCTGGCCCCTGTGCAGGGGTGACATGCAAATTTGAGGAGCTTTCTATATTTTTCAAAAAAGGGTCCATCACTTTGGGGACATAAGTAATGGGCTGTATTGCTTTATGCTTTGATATTCAATATTTTCCAAATAAAAGAAAGGCTCCTGTTGACTGCTCTAGAACGGAGGCTGATCTGGAGATCGTTTCTGTTGGCTTTGAAGTGTAGATCTTGAACTCGTGTAGTCGTGTTTGCTGGTGAGTTCAGTTGTTGAGTGTGTTCAGACCTCGTGGACCTGTTCTGCTCTCAAGACAGACCCACGTCTGTTGCCTCACCTTGGCCTCCTCTCCCCATCAGCCTCCTTGCTCGGCTCCTAAAATGCGTGCCGTGCTCTCAGGGCACCGTGCTCAACTTCTCTCCTCTGAGGCCTTTGCATTAGCTCTTCCTCACCTGGAACACCTCCTGCACCCTCCAGCCCCCTCGTTGTCTCATCCTCTGGGAAGCCTGGTCTGACTTCATTCCCTGGCCAGCGAAGGCCACCTCTTCTGCACCCCACAGCTCTGCATCCCTCTGTCCTGACTCTGTATTGAAGTTGTCTGCCTGTCTCCCTCTAAGCTAGGAATCTCATGGGCAGGAACCACATCTTCATTATCCTCTCTTTCCTTCACATTTTATTCAAGGACACTGTATGTATCCAGTGAATGTTTGGTGAATGAATGAATGAACAAACGAACAAACGAAGGAATGAACTCTAACCCCCCTGAGCACCACCAGTCTCACAGGAAGCCTATGTGGACAGCTCTGTGTAAGCCCCTCCCCAGGAGGGTAAAAGATCTCTAATCCATGGGTCGGCAGCATTATCCTGACGTCACCAAAGGCCAGCAACTCAAAGCAAGTGTGTCATGAAAACTCACAGTGCCTGATATGATGTAACAAAGTTCTTTAGAAAACACAGACCTCAGGAGGAGGTGGGAACTTGCCCGGCTTCCTGAATCCATGAGCGTTCCCTGCCACTTGGTGAGGGGCTCACATAGCTCACAGGCCAACGTAAGGCCTCATCGAGATGACTGTCTTCTTTCCCTCTGTGTACCAGTTAGGATCCTTTGGTTGCAAGGGACAGAAACCCAACTCACGCTGGCCTAAGTAGATGGGGGGATTTAGGGGGCTGGTGTGACAGAACGTCCTGGGAGAAGGAACCTGGCAGGCTTCAGGTGAAGCTTGACAGAGGGTTCTCCTCTGTGTCCTCTCACCCAGCTTCTTCCTATGGTTCTGAATTCCCAGTTCCCTGATGTTGCTTTATCCTCAGATCCCACATGGTTGCACAATGCTCTGGGCTCACACTTAGCAGGAAAGAGTTAGTCACCACAGGAGAATATATACGACTGGTCAAA